CGCACTTCTCCTTCTGACAAACTGTTAGTGTCGATTGCCGCTAATCCCATCAAGAGGTAAAGAAATACCGATCAGGTCGGTCGTTCTTTGTAGCTGGTAATGGACCACTGTCATTGGGAAGAACTGCACATGGCGTCGAAAGGCTTTGGCCGACGTAGAAATTCGGCTGAACGGGAACTGTCATTACACACTCCGAAATTCGCAACGTTTATGTTCGGTCTGTGAAGAATTTTTTCTGAGATTCCCATCGTCACAAGGCAATGCGCCATAAAGATCTGCCAACATAATGTGCGTGTTCTTCTGCAATATTCAAATTGATGATACTGCATGAAGATCTAGTATATACATATGCAACCACACTTTAATGTTTTTCAAAGTCTTCTGCTTACAGCTCGATCATTACCGGCATCTGTGGGGCAGCCCCGAGCTTTGTTTTAAACAAATACAGGGCTATCCACACTTGCCAAAATTCGTTAGCAGTTTTTCATTCTACAAAATTGGTTTCTTAAATTTTAGAGTCCGTAAATCGTCACAATTTCGGCAGCGAAACGAAAATTTTTGTCGTACTGAGCAAACGTAACGAAACTTAACTGCACGCTTCCTGTCCCATAAAATAACGAACCTTGACGAATTTATAAAATATTTGAGCGCAACTTAACGATAACTTTCGATATTTTTCCGTAAAAAAAACTGAACGCAACGAAATCGCAAAATACAATCACAGTAGTAAGCGTTCCTGGGATTAGTTTTATTTATCTGAATTTTCTATGTTGTTCCACATCAAAAATAGTAGATCATCAAGCTTATCACTGCTCAAACGGTTACGCCGTTCTTGAAAAACATTTCCTGCGTGACTGAATAATCTCTCCGATGGTGTACTCCGATGGTGTACGCGACTATAGACAGGTATTTTCTGGCTAGAGAAGACAAATTCGGCAACATCTGCGTTTGTTCACGCCAAAACGCAAGTAAATCAAAATCAGAATTTGGAGGGTTCAAACTCATATACAGATCAATTTCATCCTTGAGATCATTCGCTAATTGATTTCCTTTTGGGATGTCTGCGTATTCCGCAAACTCGGCAAAAACATCATCGCAGTGCCCGCGGTTGGTGTTCTGAACTGCCTGTGGAGAGCCGGCCGACGTTTTATCTAAAAAGTTTCAGCACATATTTCAGATCAACCCTAGTTGGTCAACTATCACTTTAAGTAGAATAAGATTTATACGGAACTACAGTAGAATACGGTAAAATGCCTATATTATTTTGTACTCTGTAGTACGTATAGTACAAAGTAACTTGTATGTGATACGTAATCGTATTATGGAAGAATGCAAAGCACACAGAGTCTCTGCAGTGAAAGCACTATTAAGCTACACCGCAGTGCAATCTTTGTCCGAACTGCTGCGAAAAAAGAACTATAGCACCATACACGTGAATGCAATAAAAATTAAACATTAGATGGACGTACGTGACTACGTATTATACAGTTAAACATAATGACGCCAGTTAAAACCTTTTTCAACGTACCTGCATTTTTTGTTCGCAACCCGTGCACCATTTTTTGGACCGCATCTTGAACAAATTTCGCGTCATCAGGTGAAAGAAACAACAGTCGTTTCGTGGCTGGATTGAAGAAAACAGCAATCTTGTGGGCAAGTTCTATATTCAGCTTGCCCTTGATGACTTTTAAGCAATGCTCCTAGAAATATATTTCTCGATGATGCAATATAAAGCTTAATAACAAACGAACTGTTCTTTGGAAAAAGAAGCTACCAACCTGAAATTTGTTCATCGCTGGATTCGTACTCACAGAAAATCGCTCAATCTTGCGCTCGATAGTGATGTAATGTGCCAGAACCAGATGCAAAGTAGGCGATTTGTCCGCGCTTAGATCTTTCGTGGCTTTGAGAAAAGGTTCAAGCAAGCTGGACAGCTCTTGCATAAGCTCCAACGGTCCCGGCAAAAGCTGTTCTTCGTTTCTGTTTTCCAGAATTGCTTTGATATCATCGTACTGGCCAATAATCGAATCCAGCATGGTCAACTTTGTATTCCATCTTGCTTCCACTGACTGAATCAGTTTTTTCTTAAGCCGCTTCGCGATAGTAGATTTTTTGCAATGAGCAACAAGAGATTTACATTCTTCCAGGATATTCCAAATAGGCTCACATTCGTCCGGCATACGAAACTTGGACTTCTTTCTCCGATTAAAAAAGTTTGACAGGGTGGTGTTTAACAGATGTCCAGAACACGTGATTCTTTAAAGCGCTCTGAGCCCCGGGTGGGCCTGCATGGCTTTCACCATGTTTCCGCCAGCGTCGGTTATAAACATAATGTCGTCGCACATGTCTTCGGTAACACCATATTCTTTTAATTTTGAATCCAAAAAATGACGGATGTTAATTCCTTCTTTCTTGATAACCGGATCGAATTCCGCACAAAAAAGAAGCATTTTCTGCATGGTCCAGTTTTCATCAATGTAGTGATAAATAACACTCAAATAATCCGTCTTGTTCAACTCTTCATTCCAAAAATCTGTAGTTATTGAGCCACCATACGTAGAGACCAAGTCTTTCAATTTTTCTTTCAGGGCTGCTCGGAGAACTTCCGCCTGCGATTTAACATGATTTGCTACAGTCTTTTCACAAGGCAAGATGTCAGAAGCCAAAATCTTTTTCTGGTATTTAAAGGATTCAGATAGCAGGCACTGAACAAATTTTTGAAATCCGCGCCCTTCGACAATACCAAAAGCTCGCGAGTCCTTGGCACACATCATCGCTAGAGAATCCGCTACAAGTTTCTTAGATTCCGCAGATATCTGGAAAAAATAATATGATGTTTTCCTAATAAATATCAGTAAGAGCAAAATTCACACTAATAATTTTAATTTATTTCAATCTGAAAAACATTTTATAAAATTTCTCCGACAACTCTACCTTTGCAGTTGTGAAAGCAGTGATTTTTGTTTGAGCTTTGTCCGGCTGACAAATGGAAGTGTGATGAGTGAAGGCTGTCGTCCCCGCGTGCTCGCCACGACTGAATACTTTTGCACACCTTTTGCACTGAGCAAAAGGCAGCTCCTTACCACCCTCGTCCCATACTGTGTGAAAAAATTCCCAAAAATCAGCTCTGGCGTTTTCTTTGGGTTTCGTGGAAAACAGTCCTGCAGTAATATTTGCCGCGCATTCTTCCTTCGTAATGGTACAGGTTGGAGTTGCCTTCACTTTTTTCTTCGGCTTCGTGTTCGTGGTGTCGTTCGTGGCCGTTGGCTTAGAGGAACTAGCATCTACATATGTAAGAATACAAATAAATAAACAGAATACATCGGGCTCCATTCACGGTCGAACAAAAAAGTATGAAAATTACATCGAAACTGGCTGAAGTGCTACATTGAGTTACCCTCTGATAATATGTAAAGATCAACTGAGTACCTGTTTCGCTGTCGCTGCTTCCCAAGTCCACTGTAGGGACTGATCGCTTCTTCGATACAGTAGCTTCCATTTGACAGTCCGCAATATCTACGTTGACTCCAGAAAATATGCGAATACTTATGGAATAATGGACGAGCCCACATCAAGTTCTCGCACGAAGAAGATCGATAAAAAATTCCAAAACAGAATTGTACACAGCACACACACACACACACAAGTTCTCGCACGAAGAAGATCGATAAAAACTTCCAAAACAGAATTGTACACACAGCACATTGTATTTACACAGCACACATAGCTTGGAAACCGATTTATAAGAAATGAACAAAATAATGATACGAAACTCCAGCATTTATACCATTATAAAGTTGGTACAACTGCTGAAAATAGAAACAATGAAAACCGTTCATTAAGACTGCACTTTTTCTATGAAAATTGCAGCTTGCACTTTTGCAGTTCACTAGTGCCGTTATGATTTGCAGTGCTGTGAAGCTATAAACAACATGTGCTTGCGAAACAGTAGTGCAGTGTCTAGAACTGGGCGTTTCGCAAAGCGTCAGATTCACTGTGTACAATAGGTTGCAGCTTCCAGTGTGCGCTTACGAAGACCCTGTTCCGGGCGCCCAAAACACTGAATTATTTGTCCAGGCGCAAGAGACGCACGCACGAGTGCGGCTGGCGTACAATTGGAAAATAATTTATTTTATTTTTAAATTCCACATCGGTATCTTTTGACGAAAGAGCGACTCAAAATTTCAATATAACTGCGAAGCGAGAATACATTTTCTTATAACGAAACTTAACGAAGCGGTGCTCAGAAGTCCGTAAAACATGCGCGGGGCTTGACGATTCGTTTCGTTAACGTTCGTTAAGCTTCGTCAAAATGACGATTTACGGACTCTACCGGGTCACTTTCTTTATCCAGAATTTACTGTTTGGTTTCACAGGTAATTCATATTGATCATATACCGCTTCTGTCCAAGACTGATCCTAGATTACTGCCGTAGCAGATCGGGGTACCTTTACGACAACGCAAACCTTTACAATTGCGGCCACCCAAGGATTTACCAATGTGGAGTCCAGAAAGTGCAGCCGCGGTGTGCATGCGCGCCACTCTTTCTGAGGAAAACCGACAAAGTGCCGGTTGGCACATACAGGGACCACCTAACCGTCTTCTGATCAGGGAGAAGACGCTGAATTGCTTCCGACTGCAATACTGCACCTATAAAATTTAGTGCGACAACTGATTTTTGTCGTGTTTGGTAGATACCGGTTTGGTAGTACCTTTGTATATAAAAGTACAGAGTACAATAAAGCGTTAACGTTTGGCCGCCTGCTTTAATCGCCTCATGCAGCAAAACTGCCAACAGATGGAGTGTTTTCTTACAACCTCGAGTCAGCATAATACTTGAATAATGCGAGCTAATGCTTTGTAAGCTCAATCCCTTCTGAGGACGTTCTAAGGAACAGTGTGTATTGTGTAATTAGTTGTACTCTGTTCAGCCAGCGTTGTTGATTTATATTGTTAACTAGTGCATTTAACCGTGCTGCATATATAATAGTTTTTAATGTCGCATTTTTATTCCTGTTTCGGTTGCGGTAAAATTCTTTCGAAATCTAACTACTTTGTACATATCTATCACGCCGGTAATAGTAGTCATGGATGACTCCGCGATGCAAAATGTACCGAATCCGCCGGATCTCGTCCGCTCCCGGTCGTACAGTGATTTGTCCATGCTTGATCCTGCCTTCGATGATTTAATGAGAAAAGCTGTCGAGAAGAGCTCGTATGTCAAGCGTTTCAAGCCCTTTACACGACGGTTGGTATTGCAATCTTTCACCCGCAGCCTGTTGTTCTGCATAGCTTTTGCAATTATGCGAGACCTATCGCACGACAAGCGTGAAAACCAGGAAGGCGAACACCAACAGCAGGTAAGTTTTATCGGTTTACCATTAAGAATATCCTCTGAAAGACAGTACCGTGCGATTATGCGAACATCAAGAATTTTCGAACGTAAATCTGTACGAGTAACATTCACTTAACTTAAAAAACCAGGATGCCAATGTATGGCGTGTGTTTTTAAATAAAATCATTCAGCAAACTGCTTCTAATAAACATCAGAGTACAGATATGTACAGTATATAAATAATTCTGTTATTCTATACATTACTTGTTTTAATGAGCTTAATAACTTTAAAGGTAAGTGCCAACCAAAAACAAAAAAAATAGTTACGAGCGCGGGTACACTTAGTTATAGTTAAGACCATGCAGCTTAGTTAGTTGCAAGTGTGCTAGTTATATAATTATATGACTGTTATGTTATAATAATTATATGACTGCCCTTTTTCTAGCCAAGCCAACGTCCGTTCCTCCTAGAGTATCTCCCTTTCGCTATCGGCGGATGTGCTGGTTTCGCCTTTGCCGATTTCGGCAATGCTGTCTTCCTGTGGTACAGTACACGCAAGATGCGCGGGCAGTGGTTTTTGTCGGCTGCCAATATGCGAGACGGAATGTGGGTGTCTGTTGGCTGGTTTGAAAGCGACTGTTTGCTACTGAACACGGGACTGTATTTAACGACCACCGTACTGTCCACGATCACCACGGTGCTGGTCGTGGGGATTGTCGAGTTCTATGTTCCGGGATTCTTCCTTTCTCTATGGTGGCATGTCGTCCATGTTCTGTGGCACCATTACATCCTGCATGTACCGGCCCGGCTCGAACTGATATTCGTTATTCTACCATGTGCCGGCTTAGTGGTGGCGGACTTTGTTACCGTTTGGTACTGTCACCGAGCCATTCTGCAGTTTCGACAAATTTGCCGGGTGGACTGGCACGACGATTTTGACTTTGATTGGTCGATCATTGTTGACCGAGTGTACTACAGCGCACTGGACCTTGTCAATTGGTCGGTCATCTGGGTGGGGTATGTGACCTTTGTACTTCTTCGCCGGAAAGTAGTGTTCTGTTCTGTTTTAATGACTAAAGGGTAACCCACTCGAACGACCGGATCTGCTTAGACTCCCTTCACCGATCCGACCATCCGCGACTTTACCGCAGTTCTGAATATGAATATTTTTGAGTCTTGATGTTTTTCATTATATATTATGTAGAGTACATAAATATCCTTCTGCAACAGCTTTTTGGAAGGTTTTTCTTCATAAACGTAGTAAAGTATGGCAATTCATAAATATTTGGAAATTCAAGGCGTCGGCGCGGTACTCGTTTTGGAACAATGGATGGAGCGGGAAAATAAAACTCTGTTATATACACAAGAAAAATGCATAGTTTGCTGCTCTATGTATATCGGAAACGCATTGTATAACACTAGGAACTAATGCAATATACATTATATACTGAATAATTACAGTGCCTTCTTACGAGGGAGATACCCGAACACGTCCGCGTCAGATCAGCATACACTTGGTAACATTAGAATCCTTAGAAATTCAGCTATTTTCTTCAAGAATCAAAACACCCCCAGATAAAGAACTCGAGTTTAGGGATCTCGGAGATGCTAACACAGATATGATGGCTGACTTCCATCGAAATTTCAGCATGCGCCATACGCAATGTCCAGCCTAGCTACGCCATGCGTTACGGATAGCCTGGCTTTCAATCTGTAGATTCTGTATTGGTTTTCTTGAGAGCTGTCTTACCTATTTTGCCCTATCGCGCGCACCAGCATCCGCGGTTGCATTGATCTCTATGCAGCCAGTCGATGCTGTTGCGCTTAATGAGTTAAAAAACTGCGATAGCTATCGATAAAGCGCTGTTTAACTTCTCGCTGAAAGACGGTTGCGCAATTTCGCATCCGTACAGAGGCGCCGTATGGCTCTGTATGGCGTCTGCTGACGTTTCGATGGAAGTCAGCCATCATATCTGTGTTAGCTCCTCAGAGATCCCTAAACTCGAGTTCTTTATCTGGGGGTGTTTTGATTATCGAAGAAAACAGCTGAATTTCTAAGGATTCTAATGTTGCCAAGTGTATGCTGATCTGACGCGGACGTGTTCGGGAATCTCCCTCTTTAATTTCGCCATATCACGATCAAGTTCTTCGACATTGGTTTGGTGTACGGTATCCATCTGCTCCACAAGGGAACGCAAAGTTTCGTTTGCACTCTGCAGGTCCGCATCTGCTCTCTCACGTATTTCCCGCTCAACTTTCAAACTTTCCTTGAGTTTGACATTTTCAGTTTCGAGAATAGTTACACGTCCGGCGAGAGATGACAGCTCCTTGCATGATTCCCGAATAATAGAAAGCAAGAGGTCAAACACATCTCGGTTGTTCGGTGAGGGTTTGTAGGTCGACGAGTTAACATAGCCATCCATCTTGGCAACCAAATCAGTTAACGTGGAGGTCATTGTGACCGGCGCACTACGGGCCGGTTTTCCACTGGACTTCGGAGTACTCGTCGGCGTGGGGACAACAGGCATGATAAAGGAGATAATGATACGCTTATTAAGTTATCATTTTTACTTCAGTAGGAAGCAGAAAATATTAGAAAGGTCACGCCTATTTGCTCAGAAATTCACTGCACAGAGCTGACCAGGATGTATTTGTGCACGTGGTGAAAAAAGTTAGATCCGCACTCGAGCTGCTCAAAAGCAAAGTATGGTACCGATACCGAATGGGATACCGGAGATAAATAACAGGAAACATGTCTGCGCTGATCACCATCGTTAATTGACCAGTGTCCAACTTCTTCCAAGTGTTTTACAAGTGAGTGAAGCGACCAATTATTGAGAAATACGGAAGCATCGCGCAGCAAGGTCAGTAAAGTTCAGCTAGAAACAACCGGTCACTTAAGTCTTTACAAAACTATAAATTTTAGTATTCAGAAAGGAAACAGGACTTCTGAGCCATTTCTTCTATACGTTAAACTCTCGGCTTAATTTGCACAGATTGATTTCTAAAGGTTACAAGGCACGAGTGCTGATGAACCGGAAGGTCCAAATGATGTGTTTGAGCATTTTGATGCAAGGGCAAAAGCTCAACTGGAAGAGTATTAATAACGCGAGCGTAATAACATTTACAGGATTTTTCCCTCATTACTATAGTTTAATTTGGTTGAAATTAGCAAAGAACATACGAATTCTCCCAGGAACAATAAAGTAGCCAGTGCAGTGCATGGCAGTAATAACGTTCTACACACAGGCAAATGCACTGCACAGCCGATACAGCTCTTTGCGCCACTGTTACAGCCCGACGTTGAGTCCATTTTGCAGTCCACTGTAGAGAGTACGAGCCATATCTATTTTAGAGCTACCGAAAGCAGTCATTACGCAGTTGTTTTGCATTTTATTCACACTGATTTTAATGGCGTTCAGTCAAAAAATAGATTTTTCTGATTTCTCGCCTGTGCTGACCAGTGGTCATTCTGCCGACCGCTTTGCTCCACTTAGTTAATACAGCTTTTTATGGGCTTTCTTTTGATGGTATATTGTATCGTGTACGATGCTTCTGCAAATAGATATGAATTTTTAAGGAATATTGACTAATTATAACCATGCCCAACCGTGTCAAGACCGACATGGTATTTTGAATTGACCATCACTGACCAGTTAACGGCTTTCCTCTGAACGTTTCTTTATTCTTTTATAAAGCTGAGCAATTACTTCTCCTCTGGTTTTTTTGGTAATTATCTGATATGTGGCTGGCGGTCAAGACAAGCAGGACCTCCGGGAGCCCCGTTTGGTCAATTTTGACCATGTTTGGTCACCCCCTGGACCTTATGGACTCGGTTAAGCTACCAGTTCTGTACTTTAAATTGTCGTCTAACATCTCTTCCTTGAAATAAAACCAATAAAAACAACCAAGTACTTACTATAGTGTGAGAAGGACTGGTAATCAACCGTTTGACGTCATCACTCTCGCATACACGGGAGGGCGGCTGCCATGGTGACAGATGCGCGTTTTTCACGGTTTTTGTCAGTTTTCTCAGCAGATTTCTGTTCTCTTCTATTTTTATCCCCCGAAATTGGGATTTAAATATTTAAAATAAGCTATTAAAAGCTCAGAAAGCTTCTGATGAGAAAGAAACGTCAGAATATCTTTTAAAAGGGACAACAAAGTCTGTGGAACTATGGTAAGCATTAGCACAGCAGTGTTTTCTGTATGCGACAGTGATGACGTAGTCGACCGTTGCGCAGTCTGTTCCCAGTCCTTCTAGCTATAGTCAGTTCTTGAAACAACCTATGATCATAACAACGGATTATAGAGAGAAAGTCCTCCACCATGTCGGTCTAACACGCATGGTGTGGAACGGGTTAAGACTCAAGAACTCAGTTCGCAGAATGGTAGTACAGGCGTGGACGGCCGGAGCGTTCGAGTGCACTCATCTGTAGTCATTAATGCAAAACGCTTCTTTGCGGCGCAAAAGGTCGTATATAACATAGTCCACCCAAATGACCGACCAATCGACAAGGTGAAGTACAACGTCATACACCCGGAAAAAAGTGCTGTTCCCATCATAGCCGTGATGAAGCCCATCATAGCCGTCCTATGATGGGCTTCATCCGGCTCGCCAAAAGCTCCGACGTCAGCCCAGCAAACTTGTTGAAACGGCACAATACTCGGGGACACCTCCCGGCGGTTATCAAGCCACAAACCGCTAAACCGATAGACGGGACGGTAGCCAGGAACATGTCATACCCCGCCGAATCCACGTAATACTCATGCCACAATACAGACACTAGAGAGAGTACAAAAATCAAAGATGATAGAACTCGATAATCCCCGCTGCAGTTACCATGGCGGCCGTACCGACTATGGCATTAGACCGCGTCTGCATCGAAGGTTTGTCGAACCGTTATATTGCTTGTTCGTTTAAGGCTTCATCTAAACACAGTTTGCAATGTGTCGAGCTTGTTAATCGGCCCAATAACGAAGAAAACCGTACCTCGCAATTCACTTCTTTAGTCGGTAGTAATTGAAATAAAACTGCCAAAAGTGGACTCCAATCGGTCAACAGTCAGGTGCTGCGACTTTCTCTGACAAGGTAACCTATAAGGATAACACGTAAATTTACCGTTTACAGCGTACCGCGTCTTGGATTTCACGTTCCTGGTTTTCCCAAGCGACGTCGTTTCGTCTCCGTATTCCGGCTCGTCGTCGTTTTCCCACTAAGCTAGGCTCAGCTAGCAGTTGCATACATTCGACGGCAAAGGCTGTGCCTAGTAGCAAATTGCGGACAAGAGATAGCACTACCAACTGTCGTATAAGGAGGGAGCTTTAAACGTTTGGCGTATGAGTTTATCTCGAGATCTCTTCTCTCAAAAGCAAGATCAAACGTTGAAAAACCACGTTGATTTACTCGGCTTGAAAATCACTGTTGGCTTTTTACGGTTGATTCTGGATAATAATATTTATTGTTTAACCGTAAGCTTTAGAGAATAAATGCGTAGCAGTAAATAGATCGACGCTATAAACCAAATCGAAAGGTACCCAGTATAGTCCAGTATCGTCTGACTTCCCATATTGGCTGACCTTTCAGTCCAGTCGTGTTGTGACTTTTAAAATGTTGTTAATCAGCAATGTTTTACGCATATATGGAAACCACGTGAACACCAGACGTACAAACTTGTCAACAAATTGGATATATGAAGGTAAGAGCGCAATTAGAGTTATAAAGGCAGATCGCAGTTAGAGCGATGTTGGCGCAATAATTTGTTATTGTTCCACAGTTGGATCGCTTTTATTACACCAAGCAGCAGCACAGTTTATAAAGACTTAAGCATGAGACGTAAAATTTGCAGGTTAAGGTTAAGGAACAAGGAACACAATAAGGAAAACAATATATTACACAGAAAAACGCCAAACGATGCAGACAACAAATTAAAGAAACCAGTTTGTAGAATTGATGGAAATTCGCATCGGTTAACGATTTAAGGAACTGTAGGACATCGGACAAGTTAGTTAGTCTT